AACAGTTTAGCCACTTTTTCCTGGATAATTTAAAATTATAAAAATATCAAACACAGCATAACTCTTGACTCTAGTGTTTCCTGGCAGGAATCTACTATTTGCAGGTAAATATTCCCTTGATTCTATCCTTTTCTAATTGCTTGTTTTATTTCCACAGCTGCAAATTTTAGCTGCTCTTCTATCTACTTAGGAAAATTTTCAATACAAAGAATATTTTTTTAGGTTCTAATTTCTCTTTCATCTTATTGCTGTGTACCGTACAGATCATAAGCACTTACATTTGTGCCTAAAGAGAAGACAAGACAAGTTATAGGCAAATCCTTCCTTTGCTTGTTAATTATTCTGGGGTTTAGTACAAGTTGAATCTTAGGTTCAACCCAGCTTGTTCAGGAAAATCTCTTCTAAAACTATTACAGCTGTGGTTTGTGATATCTGTAGGTATTAGGAAGGTATTTAAAAGGATTATTCAAAAGGAATAAGCTGCATTTGCTGTCCATTTTTTTCAAGATCTATGAAAATTGGGCTATAAGGAATTGTTCCCTTAAGTGATCTTTTAATGAAAAAGGTTAACTTCAGTTTCTTGTTCTAGATTTTGGAACAATAATACTGACGATTTTTGTAAATCTTCCTGTTTTAGTAGAATATAAGAAGGTTTAATAATTTTGAAGAAATTTTTGAACATATATCACATCAGGTGTGACATTAACTCTAGTTGTGTTTATCAGAAAAATGTTTATCAGAAAATACGATTAAAAAGCATATACATCATAGATAGATAGATAGATAGATAGATAGATAGATAGATAGATAGATAGATAATCACACACACATATCTCCTTAAAACAAAAGTTGCAATGCAGCTCTGCCAACACTGTTTCTGAGTTTTATCTTCTAAAAGCAACATTTCCCTTTCACTATTACCCTGAAGAATATTTAAGTGAAAGTTGAGGAATGGGAATTGTTCCCAGCTATTACACAGGAATATTCCATCTGAGAGCAAAGATGGTGCCTAGTTACATAAATGTACCACATGACTAAATTATTTTGGGGAGGAATCACAGAATGGTTTCAGTTGGAAGGAGACCTTGAGAAAATCATTACCAATCATGTACTTTTGGGAGTAAACCAAACAAATAATCACTTCCTGGAGGAGTTACCTATTTAATTCACTATTGAATTGTATCTAATGGAAAGAAAGAAAAGAAAAAAAAAGAAAAGAAAGAAAGAAAGAAAGAAAGAAAGAAAGAAAGAAAGAAAGAAAGAAAGAAAGAAAGAAAGAAAGAAAGAAAGAAAGAAAGAAAGAAAGAAAGAAAGAAAGAAAGAAAGAAAGAAAGAAAGAAAGAAAGAAAGAAAGAAAGAAAGAAAGAAAGAGGAGAAAGAAAGAGAAAATCCCTTAGAGTTAACATCAATAAGATAAAATAGTTCGCAATGGCTTAACTCACAGCTTCTGTTATCTTCTTGATGTTGCATTGAAACAAATATTTAAGAGGAACTTGGGAAGAAAGTAAGCAGGTAAATATTTGTAGCATTTTTTTTCCCACATACAAGTGGCTGACGGCAAATTCTAGTTGGAAACATTGTTTATTTGGTTGATGGTATTGGCACCAGTAATGGACAAAAAGTGGGAGTTATCTTCTTGTTTGAGAAGCAATAGCATAGTATAGTATAGTGTAGAATAGAATAGAATAGAATAGAATAGAATAGAATAGAATAGAATAGAATAGAATAGAATAGAATAGAATAGGAGGTTGTGAAGTACCAGGAAAGCAAAGCCAAATAATCATTGTTTATAATAATAAAGGATCAAATGGAGTAATACACAGAATAAACAGTTGTTGAAATTCTGGAAAAATAATATTTTCAGACATATTACTGAGCTAGGGTATTACTTTCAAAGGCAGAGAAGTAATAGCTTTTTTCTGATCTGTAAAGAAAGATATTTCAACAAAACTGAAGCAAGAGTATGAGGTATAAATTGTAAAACTATGGACAGGGAGGAGGACCTCAGACAGAGTAAAAGAAATTTAGAAACAGAGGAAGGTAGTTGTCTGATGGAAACTTGGAAAAGAAGAGGTGAACCAGAAAAAATGAAGCAGTCACAGAAACCAGAAGGGAAAATATTTCAGCAAAGATCAAACCAGACAGCAGTGTTGGAAAAGACTGGCAGGTAAAGCAGGATGAGGATGGAGAATGCTGTTGGAAATACACAATTTTATTGTAGTGCAGGGGACAGAAGAGTGCTTTGGAAAAATTCTTGAGCTAAAATTAGTACAAAAAATCTGCTAACAAACATGACACATAAAAATCTCTGTGAGCTCAAAGGTGGGAGGGGAAGGAATACAGTAATAAGTGAGTGAGGTGGTGGGGTTGAGATGGAAATAACCAAGTCACTGTCCCAAAGAGACTGACAACATAAATAAATAGGTGAGAGAAGTTATGATGGAGATCAGGAGAGTGAATGGAGGCAAGACAGGTATGAAGAGTTGAAAAAAGATGAAAAACTTCTGTTGTATGAAAAGAGAATTTGCAGGAGAAGAACGGGAAAGGAACTAAGAAGGCTGGGCTGGTGGAGAAAGATCACAGAGTATTTCATCAGTTTTCCTTAAAAATCACAGTACCAGGCCAAAATCACATTTTCTCCCCATTTTTGTTGACAAATGCCAGTTCATTTATAGACTTACATGAAGATTCTTCAGATTCTTGAAATCTCCTTCTTTAATTTCAGTAATTTTGTTGTTCTGTAAGTCCAGCAGAGTTGTGTCTGGAGGAAGGTCTTTTGGCACTTTTTCCAGACCTAATGACAGTGAAAAGAACAGACAATGACTTTGAAAGAAACTTTAAATAAGGGACAGTATTTTTCTTAGTAGCATTTTCCTTTCAGTAAACACCATTTCTAGAACTCATTACCTGAAGAAGTTTATGAAGACTTATCTGAGAGTGTTTCTGTCTCCAACCAGTCAAAGACAGTTTTATTTTGCTAAGTTAACCTAAATTTTTTTATTAATATTTCCATTATGCTTTTTCTGAGAATATATCTGAGTTTTAGATTGAAGCAAAGGATTTAGTTTGGGAAAATTTCATCTAACTCATTTAATTCCACTGAATTGTGTGAATAAAAATTGCTTTTGGAAACAGATATGGTATTTATTAATTTCACTGTGTGTAAGTTTTTGTGGACAAACAAGGTTTCCTGCTATTTAAGAGGTGCTAGGCTTTTTGAAAGGAGTGTAATAGTTAATTGTAATAATTTCCAGAAAAAATACTGTTTGTTTGACAGTAACTGAGTAAATTGTTGTACAGTCCACCTTAAAAAAAAAAAAAAAAAAGACACAGAAAATAATCCACCTCCTCCCTTTTCTTTGAACTGAAACTATGAAACTATGTCCAAGTTTTCTGGAGAACAAATCGCTTGGTTTCACTACAACTGCCAAAAGAACATCAGACAGTTTAAATTAAAGAGTCTCTTTGGGACTATTTTCTGAATAGCTGATATGTAAGT